TGCGTCTAATAATTTGGCCAGAGACTGTAGTTATAAAAAAAAATTGCATTAATATTTCTTATCAAACTTTTCAGATAAAAAATAAATCGAAAACAAATATCTTTCTGAAAAACCATTTTCAACGTTTATAACAGTCTTTTCTTTCAGCTATCATTTCATAGAAAGCCCTATTTCGACTTATTTTATTCGTTTTCAGCTTGATTGAAAATTATTAAAAATGAAACAATGGAAAACGTTTATTCCTCTTATTAAAATCATTTCGCCGATCCTAAGTTTGAAAATAAATATCTGAATAAATATAAATCAAAGAATCGCTGCTCTGGGCAGTAGCAGCTGTTTAGCTGTTTCTCTTTTCGTTTCTTGGTAATCTTTATAAATAAATTCCTTTATCAAATCGAGAGAGATAGAGACGGAAAAAAAAGGGAAAGAAACGAAAAGTAGAAAAAAAAGAAGAAAAAAAAGAAATGAGGCTCATCTAGGACTTAAGTTCTAAGTTCACTGTGAGTAAAAAGTTTCTTTGGTTTAGAAGAATTGCTAGTCAAACGTGAAAGAAAGAGTGACATACAGACAGGTAAGAAAATGTAAATATTTTTGTTCTATCGTCTGACGCAAGAGAAGGTTTCAAGCGATACTTTTTTTTTTTTCTTTCCAAAGAATGCATCTCTCCTTTTGACCTTGTGAGAAACAAGTTCGTTTAACCTAGATTTTGAGGGCAACTGTTGTAACCTTGATAGTTATTAGTCTAATTCCAGATTTTATTCCCAAACGCTTTGATTAGCTTTTAAAACTGCTTCAAATATCTTTTGAAAATATTAGAACCGGTACCGGTTGCATTTTTTTAAGAAAAAAAAAATAATAATATGGATATGCAAGGAAAACTTTTCGTTAAATGTTATTATTCTTTTAAAGAATTTTCCTAGTTTAAATTTGAGATTAAAATTTCTTGGATTATTATTATTATTTATTTATTTACATTTTTAAATATCTCTATTTAAATAACCGGTACCAGCTGAATCTCATCACTGCATGTAACCATAGTAACCACCCAGCGCAGAAGTCTTATCACAAATTTAAATGTTTGAAGACGGTCTTTATAGGAAATGAATAGGGTACTTGCATTTGCAAGAAGAAGATCACAAATACCCACACATGTGACCCATAACGTCAGCGCCAGGTGATCGTTTATAAGCAAAATGGCGTGTTAAAGTTGAGCTAAGTTTCACCTCATAAGTTAGAATGTTAATTAAGATGAAGTTATTTAAATATAGAGTAGTATCGCACGTCAAAATATGATTCTTTCTCATCTACATCTTTTACTTAACTTTGATTTATTATTTGTTTATGACTTTTATTGTAATCGTGATTCATGTTTGCTTTATGTGCTTGGCAATTTCGATGCATAATTAGTTTGTTTATGTTCTTCATAGCTTAGTGCCTGTTTTTGTGTTAAGGAAGAAATATATAGTGAAAGAATTGAAATCATTGTGAAAGAATATAGAATGAGTAACTTAAGTGAATCGATGCTTTTCGAGTTTGGCTTACTCGAAATAGAGTGGAAAGAACAGTTGCTTACGCAAACAAATGCCCCATTTCAACAACCAATCAGTATCGCGATACCCACACTACGTCACTCGCAAGTATCCCATTGCAAGATCTCGAATTTCTTATCACAACGTAACACCTTCTTTTAATGGGAAAAAAATCAATTTATACCTCAATCAATCAATTTATCAAAATCAATTTAACAGTATACCATTAATGTGTGTACTTTTAAGCATTTTTTTTTTTTAAAATTTCTAGATATTTTAAGTAAGCAGAACTCGAAAACTCGCTTAACTTGAAATAAATCTTAGAAAATATTTATCCGAAGAAACAAGATAAAAACTGATCATAAAATTTTATATTTTTAATGTCAGTGCTGATATGAAGTTTGTCTAAAATAGGTGATAGAATAATATCGCATGGGGCACTTGCCCACCTAAGCTGAAAATAATTGAGCGTCCATCATTTTCAAGGACTTCAAATGATGTTATAAAAAATTCTTAATTTCCTTTATTTCTGAATAAATTTTTTATTTTGTTGTTTTCAATATTTCAGCGATTGTCTTACTGAAATTTATACTTTACTGTTTAATCATAAGGCGTTGAAAATAAATCTCAAGTCATGCTTTTTTTTTTCAAATATTTTTTTTTTTTTAAATTTGAACAAACTTTAAATTAATTCGAGATCGACGTAAAAAGTTCCGACTGTCTCATTATCAGCCGCTTGTTCCATGTATATAAAGGGTTGCAAAAATCATCTGAAATCGGTTTATCATCAACTGCCCTGCGGTCAACATTTAACCAGTGGTAGATGTACTTCGCCAAAAACAGAGAGCGTCATATCAACAACTGACGTACGAGGCCGTGTCATACTCGTCAGTATGGGAGTGGGTGAATTTTCGTATCGAGAAATCGCAGATCGTACGCTGCGTAATGCCTCAACAGCGATGCGTGTTACGACTGACTACTAATGTTCAACTCCGTAGCCTTGTAATTTTGAACCCAATCCAGAAGACAAGGAAACTCCTGGATCAGTACCCCCAGAGTTCTGATTTGTTATGGGAACATAGAAGACTTTGAGGCTTGGCAGATTTAACCCCGCATCAGTCACCATTTACTACACGGGGAGTCATCGGCCGTCGGGGATCGAACCCACGAACTCTTAGACATGGGCGCAGTGTTAGAACAATCTTGGAGCACCGAGCCGTGATGGCTCAAGTGATAGAGCCTTCGAATGAGGGGAACCGGGTTCGAATCCCAGCAATGGCTAGTCGGTACGAATTCCGCATCCGTCTTGCACCGATGACAGTGTTGACGTGAAATATTCTCAGTAGTAGGTGGATCATGTGTAAGAGTCCCCTTGCCGTGAGGCTAACCGTGAGAAGTTTTCGTGGTTTTCCTCTGACGAATCTTGCTGCAATCTGGAGTACAATGATGGTTGAGTACGCGTCAGGCGTTACAGATAGGCTCCTGCAGTGTATTATCCAGCATCATACTGCGTCTGGAATTATAGTGTGTGGAGTATAATCCCATTTAGTATAATCCCATTTATGGCCGGGATAGCCTGGTCGGTAGGGCGCTGGGCCCATATCCAAGAGGTCGTGGGTTCGATCCTCGCCGACCAAAGACTCCCCGTGTAGTAAATGGTGACTGATGCACGTTAAATCTGTCGAGTCTCAAAGTCCTCCATGTTCCCACAACAAATCAATACCTCTGGGGGTACTGATCCAGGAGTTTCCTTGTCTTCTGGATTGGTTCAAAATTACAAGGCTACGGAGTTGAACGTTAGTAGTCGTAAACCCATGAAATTGGGTCGGCTGTTCAACGACGGTTATAAAATAAAATAAAAATCCCATTTATGGGTATTTTTATTTTATTTTAACAGTATAATCCTATTAAGTATAATCCCATTTAGTGCAAATATGTATACACTCTTCTGCCTGAGCAATTGGAACCTTAATTTTCGGGGGGCAGCTACATTTTATGAATCAAGCATTCAAATCCGTACAACTCGTTAGTAAGTCAAATGGAAAAAAAAGGAACAATTAATGTTTTTATTATTACACTCAATTATCTTTAGATAAACTAGTTATACTTTCACGAGCAAAACTGTTTTGATTCGCTTTCTAAAGGGCCCAAATTTTCGACTACTCTTCTGTCTGAGCAATTGAATTCTGAGTAAAAACAAATTTTTGTAAAAATTTTTTTTACATTGAATGAAGATTATTTTTTGTTTTCTTTTGCATGAGAGTTTTCGACAGATCTTAGTGACTCTTCTATCGCTGATCTGCAATCAGTTTCTTTCTCCTAGTTACAGTTTTTCTTTTAAATGACATTTTAAGTCAATTTTTTGTCGTTTGTACAAGTGTAAAAACGTTATATATAACAGAGGTTACGTAAATGTTGCGACAAACCTCTGAGAGAGTTAGGGCACATCATCAGAATTATAATTGCATGGGACTTATGTTTTATTTTATTTTATAACTGTCGTTGAACAGCCAACCCAATTTTTGGGGTTTATGATTGTTCAACTCCATAGCCTTGTAATTTTGAACGCAATTCAGAGGAAACTCCTGTATCAAGTATTGGAAGAAATTTGCCTTAGTGAAGGACTTTTTGATGGAACTAACCCGCATTTGCCTTATATGGTGATGAAAAACTCCCACGGCAAAACGTGTGAGTTTTTCAGAGTTTATGACGGCAAGAGGACTCTAATCCATGATCCGTCTATCATTGAGGATATTTTACGTCTGCACTGGGGTCGATGTGAGCCGGGTGCGGAATTCGTTTGGAAATGTCGTCATACGCCGTTAGGAGTGCTTCCCTGTTATGATCCATTTCTTCGTATGATTCTGAACAGGTAATAATAGAGAAACGCCCTTATCAACGTACGACGACATTTCCAGGCATGAGTTCCTATGCAATATTCATCCTGATGACATTCCTTAATTCCCATTTACCCGATATTTTGTTATATATAACGTTTTTGAACTTACACATTTTGACAAAAAAAAATAGACTAATGTCATTTAAGAAATTTTTATATTTAAGAACAAAGCTAATTTCAGATTTTGAAATCTTCACACCCGAATTAAGCGATATCAAGTATTTGTACAAAAAATGTGTTCCCGAGTGTTATCTTTAGATAGACTAGTTTTATAATTGTTGTGCGAAGATGCTTTTAATTCGTTTTATAAGGGTCCCAACTTATGACCAATCAATTTCTTTAACAATTGGGACCCTATTTTTCGAGATTGTCCACATTCTGAGGTTCAATGATCAATTTCGTGTTGTTAATTTAAAGAAATTGCGTTACCAGATTTCATAATTTAAAATATCGTCTGCATTCAATCATTCGTATTTATAAGCTTAGAACCATTGAAATTGAGTTCTACAACTTGAAAATACAACCATTAGATCAAAAGATTTTTTTTTTCACACTGTATATACCACATCAGATAAGTTTATCTTGCTATTTTAATGAATGTTCGAAATTTCAATCAAAATAATGTAACTGAAAGATTTTCTACTGCAGGCCACTTCAAGCTGAAAGGAAATTGAAATTATGCAGGGAAAAGCTGTTACAGGTAAATATTTCTTTCTACATCAAAGTAGTAGAGCAGTAGAGCTGGTTCTTACAAATACACTGGTGTAAGGAATTAAGAGAATTATATTTTCAGTGCTGGGTCCAGTCGAACCCGAGAGCTTGGGTTTAACGTTAACCCACGAACATTTACTCCATGATTTGAAATTATCTGTGTTCAAGCAACCAGTACCTAATCGTATAGAACATGCTACAAATATTTCCTTGTTCAGCCTGGAGAATTTAGGCTATATCCGACAATATCCGTGAGTATTTAAGTATACAAGTGAGTATTTTTTTTATTAAATACTAGAACACTGTTTTGAAAACTTAAAAAACAATATCCATGCTAAAAATTAGAAAATCCCTTCATATTGTCAACACCAACCTTCATGTTGAACTTTTAGCCTCTGCAAGTGTCTTCTTCAATCCCCAAAAAGCTTCGGACATCTTGTTTTGTTAGTAGTAGCAATGAAGACACAGCTCGTTTTATTCTATTTAATCTGGACAAAGCTCAAATCGGACCCAGCAAAAAGAAAAAAAGCGCCTTTTCAATGTTCAACCCAAAATTGATAGTCAAACGAGGAATTCCGTATTCATTTTTATTTGCATTTTTAAACACTATGTATAATCATTACTTGGCAAAGCACAGAACGCACCTTTCTAAATCAGACATCATTTGGCGCTTTTAACCACAATCAAATATCGTCAATTAACAATAGCCCCTACCTCTCTCTCCTTTTCCAGCAATCCCATTTTTGAGCAATTTGATTCTTATATAGTTCTTTCACCAGGAGTTAGCACTTGGCTCCACCTCCTCGGACACATAGTTCATTTCAGCGCGGGAGTAAAGAAGAGAAACATCTCCACGCTTGAAATTGAAACAACCCTTAATGCGCGAAAAGCGCAGTGGCTTATTTTTCAGTCACTTACTTCGCTTTCTCATCTGCTATTATATCTTTAGTTTCTCAAGCTAATTAAATATATTACAGGCTGGGAAAACAGCAGTTTTTTAAATTTAAAAACTGCTGTTTTCCCAGCAAAATGTCTCAAAAAGGACAAACTATTCACTCAAAAGAGAGAAATATCATAAAAAATGGCGCGAAATATCATCAAATTCATGAAATATTTAATGTTAAAAAAAAAGGCAGAGTTTACGAAATAAATATTTTTCTATCGCCAAATAGCAACCTTTTTCAGGATTGCTCACAACCTTCTCACAAAAAAAGCGAAATAGTATCGTCGGATGCCACGTGATGAAGGAGGAGCCAAGTGCCAACTCTTGGCGAACGAGCTATACTTAACCTTGATCGTCTTCCTGAGTTTTGATTTAAATATATTCAGTTATGAATGGGAGACGCAAAAAAATAAATAAAAATCTCAATGGAAAAAATTGATCAGATATCAATCACATCTTTATTAAACAAGGTATTTCATCAGTTACAACAAAAAGAGTTTCTATTTGAAATTATGTAACTACAGACATCGTAGCGTTACTCAATGAACTTATTCTACTTAAAAATAAATAGAATGGGTTTCTTTTTTATTTTAAATATACCATTGAACATTTCTTTGAGGGAAAGTCAGAGAGAGAGAAGTCTTCAAAATTGGTTATTGTTTAGATTTTGAACTGATTTGGGTCAAATATTTACAAATCGGCTTTAAGTTCATTCGTATTCATATTTTGTTGCGTTACTAGTCATTCAGTCCCGCAGTGGACTGATCGTTAAGACACGGTTCCCAGCAGATCACCGAAGTCAAGCATCACTATCTGTCGTCAGTGTACGGGTGGGTGGCCACTTAGATCAGCCTGCGTAGGGACCGAGAGTGCGGTATTGGTCCTCGTTAAACTGTTCTACCGTAAAGTGCTCGACTTCGCGTGCAGGTCGTCGGGCTACCGAAGCGGGGGTGCCATCCCCTCTGCAGATCAAAATTGTGATGGCATGTCTTCGGATCATCCTCAGGGATGTTTCGCAGACCGTCGCCAATAGCCCATTGTGTAGCTCTAGTGCGACGTAAATGAGCTACAACAACAACAACATACTCGTCATTCATTGAATTCTTTTACTCGTGATCGCAACGCTCGAATGCGCCATCTTGGGAGAAGACCGGTTCCATGGCTTGAATTGTCAGAAACATTTTTAAAACTTTCCAAGACAATTTCTTTTTGCTCTATGTACAATGTAGTTTTCAGTTCCATATAGTTTCTTAACTTAAAAGTTTTTAATCTATTTCAAAATCAAGAGAGAAACTACCATACTTCCTTCACCTATGACTCTCCACACGCTAATGGTGAAAGCACGCAAAGTGTTGCCATAGGTAGAGAGTCTTGCTCTGCGCCACCTGTCGCCCATTTCGATCATCGATAGATGAAGGAGCAACATGGGCAGCATTACTTTGAAAGTTTTTACCAAACTTACAGGCAATAAACAAGGTTGGTTTATAGTGGATAAAGTATGGCATATAAACTTGATGTAACCCACTATTTAACCCTTTTTTTTAATGAGTATTATAGTTGAATACTAAAGAATACTATGTTGAATGTCATTCCAGTTATTGCTACGACTTTAACATCGAATTCAACAGCGTTGGTGACGCCATCAAAGAGGAGATGGACTACTTCAAGAGCAATGGAGGGGGCACAATTGTCGACAATTGTTCCATCGGATTGAGGGCAAATGGTCAGGCAGATTATTTGGAAGAACTGTCTCAATCGACTGGGGTCAAGATTGTAGCTGGATCAGGTGATCGTTACCTTTATAGTTTGTTTATTATCTTTTAGCTATTTAAATTTTTAATTATGAACTATCTATTCATATTATTAGCAAGTTGAATGCCATGGAGGTCACCGGTGACCGGCGATGCCAAGATTATTAGAAACACGTAATTCGAGTAAATTTTTAATATTATTATCGGATTGAGGGCAAATGGTCGGGCAGATTATTTGGAAGAACTGTCCCAATCGACTGGGGTTCAAGATTGTAGCTGGATCAGGTGATCGTTACTTTTATAGTTTGTTTATTACCTTTTAGCTATTTAAATTTTTAATTATGAACTATCTATTCATATTATTAACAAGTTGAATGCCATGGAGGTCACCGGTGACCGGCGATGCCAAGATTATTAGAAACACATAATTCGAGTAAATTCTTAATATTATTATCGTTACTAAAATGGTTTGAAGAAATTAATGCAATGTAGAACACACAAAAATAGTTTTATTTATATATACAGAATGCCAACTTGCTCCGTACAGCGAATAAATATTTTCAAGTGGTAGTTTATTAATTGTGATTCTGTTTAATAAATTCAATTTAGTATTCAATTTAGTTTTTATCCACCACTAAACAATTCGTAAACCACTTTTTTCTGATATGTCATGCTAAACCTTTTAAAAACTAGCAAAATATGTCTAATATTTGCAAATTTAGTTTGTAGTTGTTTTTTGGCCAGACGGGCAAGCCATGTAAAATTAGCATATCATTCAACGTGTGAATTGAAAATGAGACTTATTTAAATTAAACTTATCTTCAGCAGGTTTTTATTTATTTTATTTAATACTTAACTGGGCAACACACCCAGATGCATGTAAAAAAAGAAGAAAAAAAACACAACTAACTTTTCTAATCTTTTACCCAATCAAATATGAAAAAAAGATCTGGAACTCGTTAGCGCCATCTACATAAATTTAT